CACCACACTCTTTTTTATTGTATTTTTTTTAAGGCACAGTTTCCATAAATTGCTCAGTCTGGGATCAAATTTGTGATCCTCCTGCCTCAGCCTCCCCGAGTGGTGGGATTATAGGTGTGCTCTTCTAGGGTTTTTGAAATTTCTTAATGAACTTCTGTTCTTTCAGTACCACAGAAACAACTGAAATGGAAGTTATGAGAACACCATTCTTTAGGATGGCCTGTTTGTCTTTCTTTATTCAGACAGTGTTTTTCTCCTGGCAGAATAATACTGCTACTGACAAGGATGAAACACTCCAGCCACAGGCGGCATTCTCAAAAATTTGATGACCATGGTGGGTAAGTCTGCCCCTACCCAGAGTGTGTGAACTGCCTGGCTGTGCTCAGAACCCTGCTGGTGGGGGGAGGAGGCCCCAGCTTCCCCACACCCCAACCTCCATACCCAGGTCTCAGGCAGCAAAGGGCAGGCAGAATGTGTGTTTCTTTGACGCCAGAGTCATCTGCTTCCTCGCTATGTGAGACAATTAAAACACCGATCTCTAACGTGGAACAGAGGTAAAACGTATTATTAGAGTGAGACACTTTAACTTAACAGCCATCCCGTCTCAGTAAGGAAATCAGACCCCATCTCCTCTGAATTTAACTGGAAATCTCATCAGCACTCTTCCATGACTATTCCTACAAATGTTCCCTTTATGGAGAGGCAGTCCTAACCTACAAAACAGAACAATTAGAGGAAGCGTTTCTGCATCCCACACAAAAGGATGCTTTGCTTTACAAAAACTTCGCCTCAGAGGCTTGTGAATGCTGGACCCCACAAGCCACGCTTGCTTCTTTGCAGGTCGTTAACTATGTAGCTGAAAGAGGGTGGCTCCCGGAGCAGCCATGAAGGAGAGACTAATTAAACGTGGAAACGGCTTCCGGTGGAGAATTCCACCCTTCTTTCCTGCCCTGGGCCTAGGAAGGAACTGCTAGTGAGCCACCAAGTCACAAGCGGATTAGCAAGAAAGTAATGTCAGCGGTTACTTCTGAGGGAGTGGGTGCAGTGCAGGGTTCAGGGAGGGAGAGAAGAAAGGACCCGGCAGAGCCTCCCAGGGAGCTCTGCTGCCGCAGCCCTGACACCTGGGCTCTTGCTCTGCAGACTCCAGAAAACTCCTAGAGGGGTGTACTTAACCAGAGAAGGAGCCCAAGGAAGACCTGTCATCATCACGGGGCCCTATGCCCTCTACTGTCATTAACAAGCTCTCATCTCCCCATGCTCACACTGGGGATTGAACCCAGGGGCTCTCCACCACGGGGCCACACCTCACACCATTTTATTTTTTATGTTGAGACAGGGTCTCACTAAGGCACCCTGGCTGATTGGGAACTTGCAGTCCTTCTGCCTCAGCCTCCAAAGTAGCTGGGATTACTGCTATATGTCACTTGATTTTTTTTAGAACTATGTAGGTACCTCCATCAACTGGTGGGTGACCATAAAGAGTATTAGAGATAATAATAAGGGGTAGAGAGTGTGGTTCAACGGTAGCACATCTGCCTAGCATACACAGACCTTGGGTTTGATCCACAGCAAGAGAAACAGAGAGAGAGAGAGACTCAGTTTAATTTCTCTCATTCCCTCAAACTTTTGTGCAGCTCTCTCCTCAACATATCACAGGCCTGTGTCTCTTGGTCTATTATCCTCCCTGCAGAGCAGGCTGGGTTCAGGTGTTACTGTTCAACATTGCTTTTCTGTTTCACTAAATGAAAAATTTAATTTTCCTGGCAATTATTGATCTGGTGTCAGTTCTTCATTCTGCAGGCAATGATTTATGGCCAGATTGCATGATGCACATTGATCTAGGCCTTTTAATACTTCTTTTATAGGATTCAGTTTTCTACTGGCCTAAGAATCAGAGCCAGTGGGATTCACTTTCGGACCGACCAGAGCATCATTTTTAGAGGTACATACAGGGGTCAACCCTAACCCTTCCTTGAGTTTTAACCCGTACCAGAACTGTGCAGTGCCAGCTCCAAATTCAAGCTTCCTACCTTAGCCACTAGAAGATAAAGATCCTGTCCATGCTGATTAAACAGCAGCCTTTCCCATTCGAAGAGTGTCCTCTAAAAGTCGTTGAACCCGTTGACCAATTACTGCCTGGAACAACTAAACGGCCATTACGTCTCACTGAACTCGGTTCTTTCTCAGATACAAAGTCGCATACGTGTGGGCGACTCACACAATTTTATCCACAAGGTTTCCCCAGTCGGTGACAGGACTTCATTTTCAGGCTGACTGACCGTAGGAGCGAATCAGACGGCAGTCCTCTGCGACCACAACTCTGAAGTTAAACCGAGACTCCCAGAGAGCAGAAATAAACGAGAACTTGGGTAATTTCTTCCCTCAAAACATGTTAGGCTGCAGCCTGTTCTCTGCTTTTCATGGGGCAGGATTTGACAGATTCAACCACATCATCCTTAAAATTCTTAAATTGATGAAGAGCTCAGAAATTTTTTTTAAATCCTTATATTGTCCATAGATGCGGAGTCTATTGTTCGTTAATTTATTCAAAGGCATTGGTGTAGGTATTCTACTGACAAATTTCTTAAGAATTTGAGACTCTTCCCTCTTTTCAAAACTTTTCTTTCAATTTTTAAATGCCTTTCTTTTCTCGTTAACCTTAATCCTTGAGGGCTTTGCAACTTGTCATATTTCTTCCCTATCTTGCTGACTGGCAGGTATACCTGAGAAAAAGTTCTGGGAGTTAGGAGGAGTGATTTTACATTTGAATGTTAAAATTATCTATTTTTAAAATGTACATATTATCTCTTTTAAAAATGTAGAGTTGGGTGTGATGGCACACACCTGTGATCCTAGCACTCAGGAGGCTGAGGCAGGAGGATCTTTGTGAGTTCGAGACCAGCCTGGGCTACAAAGTGAGCTCAAGGCCAGCCTGAAGTGCATAGTGAGACCCTCTCTGCAAAAGACAAAACAAAACTGTAAGTAAGCTTCTATGGAATAATGACCACTTAGCAGACTGACCCTTATTCTGCCATTATTCCCCTCCCATTTTTTGGCGAGAATTTGCCTTTTTTACTTTTATAATCTCCTTGTTTGGCAAAATTAAGAGTTGGTAATCCTTTGCCATCCATGCCCACCCTTTACTATATGATGTTTGTCCTCTCATTGAGGTTTAAAGGTTCAACCCACAGTATTGGGGCCTTTTATTATAAGTTGCCTTAAATGCTTTTTGGAATTAGTCTAGCTATAAATATGCAAATGCATACGTACAGAAGCTGACACTCCACACACATACAAAGTCACACACCCAGGCCTAGTCCGGAAAGATGCTGCAAACTACCTGTTCCGATTCTGCCCGTGATGAATGAGGAAGTCGAAGCGGAAGAGACACCTCGTACCGTGCTCTGTTCATGGCGGACTTAGACCCAGAACCCAGGTCTCCGTAATTTCTAGTCCATTGCTCTTTCCACTCACACTGAAAATACAATTTAAATCTGTCAGAAACATGCTTTGATTTATGAATGTACTACGGCAAACCACCTGGAAAAACCTAACAGTTGCAAAAGTAAAAGGTGTCTCCAAGAACTAATGTTCATCTTAGTAGGAAAATGGAATGAGCCCAGATAGATTGCTTTTCTTTACCAGTGTTATTTGCAGTCAGCAACTTGTGTTATTTTGAGGAAAAAGGTGTTTCAGATCGTTAGTTTCTGCTCTGTTTCCTTCCTCCCCGTAGCCATAAGCTAAAATTAAAAAGCTGCAAGCCTCTTCCTGAAAGACCCAGTACCCCGTGTTCCTTAGATTTCTACTTTACTCCCTCCCACACCAGACCACTTCCGGTTCCTGAACATTCGACGAGGATGCTGCGCGCCGCAGCCTAGAACACCCCTCTTCCCCCAAAACCATGCTGTCCCCATGACCCTTCCATGGGGACTCAAAACACTCGCCTGGTCTCACGGATGCCGTCAGCCCACCGATCCTTTATGTCCCCATGAACGCTTTGGAGATGCCTCTCGGGGCATTTATCTCACCGTTAGGTGAAACTTCATCACGTTTGTCTCCCTAATAAAACTGTGACCTCAAGAACAGAATAGAGGGGCTGGGGAAATAGCTCAGTGGCACAAGTGCCTGCCTGGCAAGCACAAGGTCCTGAATTCAATTCCCAGTACCTTAAAAAAAAGAACAGAATAGAAATGCTCTCCCCATTGTCTACCTAGCGTAGTGCTCAGCACACAGTAGCGGATCAATAAATGTTCGCAGAAAGAAGGGAAAGAGGACTGAGGAAAGATCATCATTCGGGATGCAAACAGGGAAAAAAAAAAAACCAGAAAAAAAAAAAAACCAAACCCTGCTGCATATACCGCTTTGGGCAAAGAACAGAATATCTCCCTCATGGTTATTTTAAAAGAAACTTTACAAAAACCCACCTGTCCTGGGCTTTGGGTAAGAGGGCAAGCTGGGCCAGCTCTTTGGGGCTGTGTTCTCCCTTTCGTGTCTCAGCACGTGCCCGGGAGACACTGCTTGGCGGAGCGACCTCCTCACCCTGCGCACACACAGCGGCGTGCCTGTTCGCCCGCTGTGCTCGCCTGCTACGTATCATACACGGAACTAGACTGCGAACGGCGGCTTACCAGCCCGCAGCGTTCCACTCGTTCATTTTACCCCACAGCCCCCGGCGCCTTCAACTTTGCTTAGTGCACCGGTTTCTTCAACGGGGAAAGGACAGAAGGAAAAAGTACAAGGTGACAACTGACCTTTTTGGGGACATAGGAAGAGAGGCACTCTACCACTGAGCTACACCCCAGCCCTGTTTTTTTACTTTGCAGCAGGATCTCCCTAAGCTGACAGTCTGGTCTCAGCCTTGCCCCAGCCCCCAGGCAGCTGGTCTCGTAGCGGCGTTCAGGTGTGGCTTCTATGGCGTCAGCGTCTTCCCGTCATGACTGACAAGAGCTTCACCTTCCTAGGCTGCGTTTCAGCTTACCCCTTTTGCTATTTATTTTCCTCCCAGCACCCGTCACCCGCACACCTCTCCCAATTCTTGCGGAGTGAGTCCATGAGCAAAGACAAACATCCCATGGCGTTCACAGTTCTTTCGGGCCTGCTGGTAGAACTGCCTGCCTATTTCCACCCATTTAACCTGATAGTAGAAAGAAGAGAACCATAGCTGCTCACAGGCAAATTCCAGTTTCAGGTCGGATAGCTGCGAATGTAGCCATTCAAGGGCCAGGTGAGGGAAATGTATTCCTGATCCTTTGACTTAGTTTTTAATTCCCTATCTGTGTAGGTTTTCCTCCTTCTGCTCTCATAGTGAATGATTCTGCTTTGATGGCTAACATAATTTTTTTGGCAAGAATGGGCTCGAACCCCAAAACTCTACACAAAGGATGAGGTATGTTGCTTGGTGTGACTCCCTAATTTCCTCTCTCTCTCTCTCTCTGAGGCTCTTTACAGTTTACCGTGTAGAAAATAAATTAAAAGAGAAATTCCCTGTCAGAGAACTAATTCTGAAAATTAAAATATGACCGTTTGAGTCTTGTTTCAGCCTCTCATTTGCCTCCCAACCCAACGAATTTAGTAAACTAATTTCCTCTGTGCGTTTCACTCAATCACATCACGAGTGACACAGTGCTCTGCTAATGCTTCAGGACAGGAATGGGCGTGAGTCACCGAGTCAGCACAGCAACATGAAAGGTAAAGTCTCGGCCCATCAGAGGCTCTCACGCACCAGAAAAAACCACATCCTGCAGGGGTGGACGCTAGGCAGGGAGCCGGTGCCCGGGAGCCGCTCCAAGCTGCCCCAGTCCCTTCCTATCCGTATCTGGATTCTCAGAGTCCGTCAGCAGAATCGTTAGTTTTCTCTCCTCCCACTTCTGTTCAAGAAATGGCTGGTCCTCGCCATTCCAGTCTCCCCCTCCTCCTATTAAACTTCAGGGGGAAAAAGAGTGTAAATCTAGCAAGCTCTATTTAAAAGCTGGTTTTTTTTTTTTTTAATACTTACAACCCCTTATCACACTATTGAACATGTAATTTTTTTTTCCTATGCTTGCTTGAGTTTTATTTGAATGCCCCACAAATCCCGGCTCAGGGTAGGAGTTGGGGTAGGGGTGGACTTGTGAGGAGGAGGAGTTGTAGAATTATCTGAACTCTGCCATCCAGAGACTGCTGGCCCGGCAACAACACTAGGAGGGGGAGAAACGACTTCAGACATTGTAGGACATGCTTGAGGATATTTATGGAGAACACGCGCTATCTATAGAAGATCTGTCACCCCGGGGCCAAATGTAGCAGCAGAAGCAACATTCTGAAGCAGGAATTGCTAGTTTTTGTAGAAAGGAGAGAATATATAGTAAAAGCTGAGATCTAGACTTTCAGAGGTAGAGGACTGATAGCAATCTTCCTTCTGTGACTCAGTTATAAGTATCAGCATGCCTTTTAGCTGAGAAAAGGAGAAAATAAAGCATCACTTAACCCTAGATATGTCCAGAAAAAATATTAGAAGTCATCGAATCACTCCCTTTAGTTTTTAATCTGTTGCCATAGTGAACAGGTCAGTTGTGTCTCTACAAAGAAGATCTGAAATAAAATTGATACGGTTTAGAGCTGTGAGCAAAAGGGACATTTATATTTCTTTTCCTTTTTCTGTTTCTCAGACTCACAGGTACGTGAGTTCCATAGTGTCGGGTTTGAAATATAAATAAGCAAGTGAGAGAACACCAAACTGAACAAAACACCAATCTATTCTCCAGTCTCCACCCGCCGCCCCCTTGCGGAGGTGGAGACTTGGAACGCATCTTGCTTCCCGTCCTCGGACATCCGCCATGGAGTTTGTTCCTACAGCTGCAGCTGCACCCATCATGCGCGGGACACCGTCAGACTCGCCGCGTCCTCATGTGGCCACAAGGACTGGTCTCTCCTGAGACGAAATGGTAACAACCTGACACTGCTTCTCCCCCTAGACGCTGCCTACTGCCTCCCCACCCCAGGCCCTCGCCTGCCCTGAGCTCTGCACCCCCTGGACCGCAGGAGCTGGATCACTTGGGGCACGGCTGGCCAGCGCTCCACCAAGGTGTGGCATCCGTTCATCTTTCAAGACCGACCGTGCTGGTGTGCTCGGGTTGCTGTGTGACCCCTGGAGTCACAACACTGACTTGAACATCTTCCTCATGGAAAAGGCAGCAAAGCGCTGACTACAAAGATTGCTGCGGCCAATGAACGCGCCTGAGCCAGCGTGCGGCACTCACCTTTGTCGGAGGACGCTGTCCTTCCGCCCTGGCCTACGTCCTTGTGGGTTGGCCTATCTCTCATTAACTGACTCAGTTAACTGTTCAAATGGGCGATTCCTTTTGAAATCACAGCACTCCATGGTTGAGTATTGCCCAGGGATTATAATTCCAAGCTCATTACAGGCCAAACCTCCAGGGCCGGGTGACATTTTATCTATGGAAGATTGCCTGAAAAATACAGAGATGAGCCGCTCTGCTTTACCATCTGCAAACGGCTGGACCCTCCTAGGACCCCTGAGGCCCACCCACGGCGGCTCGCTGCAGGTCTCCATTAAACTCTTAGTGTATGGGCCTTGTGGGACTCTGGGGCTCCCTGGGACAGTCTGCCCGGGACAGTCTAACTCAGCGGAAGAGGGTGAACTAGTATCTTCTGCTGTGTTCATTTGCGTCACTTTCTCTGCGCTCCTGGCTGTCTTTGGCTTCTTCTCAGTCGGCTCTGAAGCTGCAGCTTTGCCTTGACCCTGTTCTAAGCTCATTCCCATGATCTTCTGCGCACCTCCCCAGGCTCCTCCAAGTCCCCACCTTTGTGCATGAGGACCGCTAAAATGCCTGCACACGCTCACACGCACACACGCGCGAGTCTTTCCCTGGGTTAGCTCGAGTTTCAGGGCCCCTTCTCCCAGCGCATCCCCCCCAGCTGCCCCTCCGTCCCTGCCAACTGTGTGCTCAGCCCCTCCCGTGTGCGGCGCCGCACTCCAGGCCACTCCTTTTACCGTAACTGCCATGTAGGCTGTGGCCACAGAGCATACGACTCAACCACGCCTTCCAAAAAAACAAACTTCACTTACGGAGAGATGCTCTGAAAAATGGCCTTGCAAAACCTATTGCTGTGCGTGGGAGACCAGATAGACGATTATGGCTTAACTGGCGGGCACTAGAGAGCGAAGCAGCGTGAGTGCGTGCTGCCATCCTGCAGGGAAAATGAATACAGCTGAGCTCCTGCTGTGTACGCACCGTGGACGGAGGAAGGCAGGTGAATCCTGTGTCACTCACTGCTTGTGCCCGGCTCTGAGCAAATAAAGCCGAGGTGTGCCAGTCAGTAGGGGCTCTTTGTCGGAGGGACACAACCACCTCCTGGCCCCCCAGCACTGTAACCTAACTCTGTGTCTCTTTGTGTTTTGTCTTGGTCACCCCTTGGTCAGGTACGAGCTCATAGGCTGGCCCCCTGCAGTTGTGAACTCCGTAAGGATATTGGGTTTTTTTTTGTTTTTTTGAGGCAGGGTGGGTACCGGGAATCGAACTTAGAACCTTGCGCTTGCCAGGCAGGCACTTGTGCCGCTGAGCTATATCCCCGGCCCTCTGTAAGGATATTGGTGAGGACACTGCTCATCATTTCTCTAGAGCTCTTCTTGAGGACTTGTGGCAGGCGTGCTCCTCTGTTCTCTAATATAGCCGTAGCTGTACCTATGTTAAGAACAGGACCATTACCTTAGCTACCTTTTCAACTGTAGAAGAAGTATATAACCTACATCACCCTGGCCATAAAAACCTGAAAGCTAAACAGTGTCCTGTTCTTTATGGGCTGAACTTTATGAATGTGTCCTATTTCTGGTTTTCATCTTTCATACCGACTTTCAAGTTATGTTAACTTACTGTATGCTTCAGTTGCAAAGCTGTAGGTGAATTTAAATTTTTAAGGGGGACAAAGCCAGATGTAACTCCTCAAATAAATAAATGAAGTGATAGAGAAGTGGAAAGTTGTACTGAGAAAAGTAGCATCTGACCAGTGGAAGAAGTTAGTACTTTTTAATTGGCAAGCTGCTTAAACCCCCTAGCTGCTTTCAAGAGCAACAACATCTTAATTTAACCTGGAAAGTTCAGGGGTGGTTTGTTTTCAGGTAGGGTTTGATCCAGGGGCTCAACTCACTCATCAGGTCCTGGTGTTTCTTCACCTGTCACTTCTTCCTCATGCGTCTTCATGCTCAGGCTTCATGGGGTGGCAGGATGGCCGCTGGAGTCTAGACTTTTGGGGGGTTTTGTTCTTTTCCTTTTTTCAGAGATGGTACACTAGGATCAAGTTGGATTCATTCCAGGGTTTGCAAAGATGACCCATCATAAAGACCTTTGTGTTGTTTACAGAAAAACAAGAGAACATCTCTTGCCTCAAAGTATGAGATCCATAGACACAGAGACAGAGGTTCGTTGCTGCATTCCCAGCAAAGGGGGCGCTGGTACATAAATGAAAAATAAATTTTTAATACATAAAAATAAATACTTGTTCAGTTTCTTGTTGTGGAATTCCTGAAAGCTCCCACACAAATCCCTAGACCTGACCTTGGCCAAATGCCCATCTCTGTGCTAATCTTTTCATCAGGGGGATCCAGTGCCCTAATTACTCAGGTCTCAATCACACCGCTCTCACCCCAAACCAGGGAGGGGTTTCTAACTAAACTGTGCGCTCTGCCAGACAGCGGGGAGGGCGGATCTCTGAAGGAAATCGAGGGCATTACCAAGGAGAAACACCCTGGGCCGCCAGAACGGCAGATATGCTCGTGCTGGACTTCAGAGCAGGGGCTGCTGGAGTTGAATGTTAAAGGGTGAGCAGGAATTAGCTAATAAAGAGGGCAGTTATCAGTGGGGGGCTTTCTAGGTATGTTCAAAGCACAGAAGCATAAAATAGCTTCATGCTGTTGAAGAACTGTAAATAGTGTCATTCAGTCAGAGCAAACAAAGGTGGGGAGCTGTAGGAAAATCAGCTACAGAGATAGGCAGAATGCAAACATGAAGGACCTTTGAAACTAATCCAAGGAGCACACGCTTTGTCCTGAAAGCCCCAGGAAACCTGTGTAGGATTTTCAGCAGGCGCTTGCCTCACAGCTAAGCCCTGGCTGATGGCTACAGGGTCTGGACCGATTCATTCTGCAAATGCTGGATGAGCCTGAGGCTGCAAGTCAAGGAAAAGAGCCCCAGATATGGAGGACTGAGGGATACAGGGAATAGGAACCGAGCAAATTCTAGGAGTCAAGCAGGCCCGAGAACCACACAGCTACTCTTTCAGACACTAAGTTGCCCGGGGTGGGCTCAAACTTGCCATCCTCCTGCCTCAGCCTCCCAGTGTGCTGGGATTATAGGCACTCACCACCGTATATCTGACTTGAATTTCCCCTTTTTGTGAGGACAACAGTCCTATATCACTGAGACACAGCACATTATTTCTATAAAGACCCTATCCCAAAATAACATTACATGCGGAGGTACGGGGCATGAGGATTTCCGCACATGAAAATTTGGAGGACACAATTCAACACAGGGTTTACAAGGAGAGCAGACTTTCCCGAAGCGAACTGACTTGTTGATGAAAGGTATGGTCACATGTTTATTTGAAAAGACACAGAGGACTCTGTAATTATGAAAAGCAGTTTTCTGATCGGTGGGATTTCGTAGAGGTCAATGCAGAGAAGGCTGGCTGTGAAAAGGCGCTGTATAAAACAGCATCCCGTGATCTTCCCTGCCCTCCAGGAAGCCAGTTCTCTGTCCAGCAGTTCTGGGAGTTGGACGTTAGTATCCTCATTCGCAAACAAGAAGGTCAGCATCGGCCAGGCTAAGATCATCAGAGGCTCCACTCAGCGAAGGAGACGCTAAGGTCTGGGATAGGACTGCTCAGCCCCCTTGCCCCACGCGCCTTGCCGAGGAGCTTCGCGAAGACCCGGTGTTCACATTAGCGCCGGGTCCAAAGGATGCCAGCACATCCTCCAGAGAGGCAAGGTGATTCTTGAGGGAACAACTGTATCGTCTCACACGCCTGGCAGGCTTGCTCAGCGTAACAGACGCATAGCAAGGAAAGCTTTGTGAAGCCGGCACAGAGCTGTAAGTCCTCCGATAGCTGACTCCCTCGTCCCTACCCAGTAGCAGTTGCCCCAGTTAATGGAGGCGGGGCGGGGTCCCCAGTGCAGGCTGTATAAATATCCTCTCCATAAATTTCCAGGATTTCCCACGAAGCTGAGCCGTGGGAGTTAAATGCCGCCATCCCCCGCGGTTCTAGTCCAGCGCATCACTGCTTGTGGGGGAACATTTGGAAGTTTTGGGTGGGAAAACAGTCACCTAAAGACGCTAACCAACAGAGTGGACTCTGTCCTTGGAAGTATAATCTTCATTCCCTCTGTGAGGGGAACACATCATTTTGTCCGTTTTCGTAGGCACTTCTGGAGGTTGGGTAGAAGCCACAGTTTATAGCTCAGCAGAGATATCTGTGTCCCTGGTGCGATAAACAGACACCACTTAAAAGGCCAGCTCAATAAAACGCAGAGGAACAGGACAGCCCCGGTTGCTCCTCCCCGGATCCCCACCAGCCGCGAACACCGCTAGCGGAGCAGGTTATCTGGGAAGAAAGCCCGTTTCCTGAGCGATCTCTCCGGCCCGGGTATCTCAGTTCATCTGCGGGGAGGGGTCTGAGTCAGCCCTGGAAGCGCGGAGCGCAGGGCGCGGGCCGGGCATCCGGCTCCCCGCTCTCCCTTTAGATGTTGCTGCGGTCCCCGCAGCCTTCTCCATTTTTGCTGAGCATGCTTGTGCTTTATTCCCAGGGAAAAGTGAAGAGCCTTACTGCTCTGAAAACTTCCGAAAGCGGGAGTCTTGATTTTTGCTCAAGGGATAAGAACTGCATCGGTCAGCTCTACCCTACCCCCCGACACACGTGCGTACACCCAGGCACACGCACGGGTCCGCACGGGCACACCCTCACCCTCGCGGCACCGAGGAGGGCTGCGGGCCGCAGGGATGGACAGGTCGCGCCTGGCCCACACCTGTCCGGCCGGGGCTACCAGCCGCCGCCCGGGGCTGCCGGGGAGACGCGCCCACCCGGGAGCGCGGTCGGGGTCTGCGGGCACGCACACGTCGAGGCGGAACTTTCCAGCGGGGTGGGTCCGGCTCCAGCGCCG